GTCACCACCGCCCGCGTAGCCCCAAAGCAGACATGACTTTTGGAGGTTCACAAAAGGCATGTGATCGTGTCAAGAGTAAGCTGGCTCCTGACATGCTCATTTGCAGCTTGGGAGCTACAAGTGACAGGCCACTGGGCTGTCCATGTCCTCCTAGATCTGGGCTGGAGCCATGGGCTGGAATGGGGAACCTCCCTGGGCCGCTGCTGATGACAGGGCAGAGCAGTTGCTGTCTGCAGCTCTCCATCCTTTCCCCAAGGACTACATAAAAGACGAAAAAAACCTGCCGGACTGGCTGTCCCGGCCACTTTCCACAGCCCAGCACCCTCCCAAGGCTGGGTCCTGTGCCCTACATCTGAAGGCTGGGTAGCAAACAGGGTCAACAAACCTGTATTGGCCCTGCTGTGCACGTCTGGAAGTGGGAAGAACTAAGAGGACTGATCCTTTTGCATTTGCTCAGCCTATGACCACTTCAGAGACCTTACACTGGAATGACAAGTTTTCAGGAGCAGAAAATACCAAGAGAACTGATGAGATCATGAGTTATTCAAGGTGGCATTAAACATGGGCAGGCACAGCTCTCACCCACAGGGCTTGAGGCAGGAACCCACAGGCTGGGATGATGCACAGGGAAGGGGGAAAGAGGGGACAGACTTGTGCCTCATGGGAAGAGGGCTGCTCTGCACATCCTGAGCTGTTCCTGTGCTGTGCCATGCTTGGTATCCCTCTGGGAAGTACCAACAGGCAGCTATGATATACCCCACTGCTTTTGAGCAGGACCAAACTGCCATTGAATCCTTTAACTGCCTTTGGTAGTTTTCATTTTAATTGTGTATTGATCCATTTAAAAATTTATGTCTCAGCAGTCCTCTGATCGCCATGAGCCTCTCCAGCTAAAGCCCATTTACCATCCCTGGCTGGTCCCTCCTCCCAGTCTAAGGAATATGCTGACCTTTCTCCTGGCTGGAGGAAACACCTCCAGCGTTTTTATCCCGCAGTGCATCTGGCGAAGGACCAGAGCTGGGGAGGCAAGGGAAGGAGGGATGAATGGGTTAATTGTGGGGAAGTTTGCTCTGTGTTCGATAGGAAAGATGCCTCCGGGCTGCTGGGAACTCTCCTTCGATATACAGCGTGTTCCCATCCCTCCCTCTGTCCCAGGCCTGGAGGGGCATTGCCGGTTCGGCTCGGGGCCCTCGGGCAGGTCTGTGAGTCCATCGCTGCACGCAGCCGTGCGCAGGAGCGGCTCTGACACTCGGCCCGGTGGCTTTACGGCAGTCCCGCCACCCGAGATAAGACCAGCCAGAATTCGGCTCCTCCAGGAAACTCCTGGCAGCTGCTCCCGGCTCCTCCCGGCAGTTCCCGAGTGCCATCTGTCGACTCGACAGCGGTCCTGCAAAAAATGGAGAGGAGCCAGGATGAAGCTGGGTGAAGTGCACTTGGGGAAAGTGGCAGCGTGGGACTGAGTGGCTCTGAAGGAGCTTCACGTAGTGCAAAAGGAAAAGGAGGGAGGGTTTGCCAGGAATGCTTCTCAGGGCAGGCAGGTTTGGGTTTTTTGAAGAATCAGTTTCTTGTCTTCAGCCTTTGTGTAAGGCAGAGACAGAGAAGAAACAAGTCTTGCTGTCTGTTAAAACGTGGGGCAAAACTTTCTGCCAGTGCTGAGCTCTGTCCTGAAGCGGGGAGAGGCCAGACTCCTGTGGGGATTGTTCCTTGTGCTGACACTGAAAGGGAGAGGCTGTGCTGCACAGTTACAGAAAGGGACTATTTCACTGTCATGAGCACAAAATGCTTCCTTCCTTTGCCCCAGAAAAATCTCCAGCAAACTTTGCCCCGAGCGGGCAAGCTTTGCCCTCCAAGTAGGCAGCTGCACTTAGGGACAGTGAGCCAGGCCCCTGTGCAGCAGAGCCACAGCAGGGCAATGCAGCAAAACCCCCTTTATATCCTCTTAATTCCTCCAGCTTCCAGGCTTTCCTGAAGGTGAGCTGCTGTCCACCCCAGGGACTGCTCCTTCAGGGGCTGCCCGTGGTCAGCAGGAGCTGGCACATCCCCTTTCCCTGAAGCAGAAACTGCAGAGCCACCCTGGGTGCGCCCCATGGCTTCTGTGCTGAGCAGCTTCAGAGCTGGCACCAGGAGCCCAGAGTCAGGCCATCCTGCCTGTGAAAGGTCTTTTGGGATTTTAAAGAATAAAGGGATGAACTGCAGGGGTGGTGAACAAGTCGCTGAGTGAGTACTGAGGCTGGTTTCTCCAGATATCCTCACTGTTGCACGAGGTTGCAGGATACCCTCGCTGTCTGAGGGACTCTGTCAAACTGCTGCATGTGGGAAATGGTGCCACCAACGGCCTGAGAGAGCAGGACTGGTGTGCTGCAGCCACCGAGGCGGGGGGGACCGTGTGAGCAGGATTCAGTGAGTCCTGAGGTAGGCACAGTCTTGGGGTGGACACTGCACTTCAGAGCAAACCAGGGGTTTTGACGCTTTTTGACAAGCCCCCAAGCTGGGGACAGCCGTGGTGTTACTGCAGCCCTTCCTGGCCATGGCACCAGGAATAACCAAATGTGTGTGCATATACATAACCCCACAAATCTCAGCAGGGTTCTGCTTTCTCTGCTTTCTCCTGTGACAGTCCCAAGGGCACAAACATGTCCCCAAACCAGCTTGTTTTGCCCCAGATGCTGCTCCCTTGGCTGGGCCCTTTTGCCCTGTGGGTTTCTGTGTCCGCCGTATTCACTGAGGGTTCATCTTCTCACTGATCTCAGATGATGATGCAGAAGTAGATTCGTGTCATTTGTGCCACTCAGACATGGTAAAGGACAGCTGAGACATGTCAGCTCTTTGTGTTGAGGGAAGGAGCAGCCGACGCTGCCCTAGAGGGAACTGCAGCTCTCCAGGGACATCAGTAAAGGCAGAGGTATTTTAGGGATCTTCCTGCCTGCTCATGACTGTTCACTGCTGGAAGAGCTTGGCCACCCTGCTGATCATGGCAGCGGCGTAGGATGCCATGGCTGTGAGGCCTGGAGAAGCTCCTTTGTGAGCACTTGGCTTAAGCCTTCACAACTTGGGCATGACAGGGCCCTCCTCAGCCGCTGGGGTCCATGGGCAGCACAGCGGACCCTGGGGCACGCGGTGTTCCCCCTGCACTGTGCACAGAACCTGGCCTTGGACTTTGGGATAATGGTCTCGGCTTTAACCTGGACCAGGTGTTGGCAGCACGTGCAGACTCCCCGAGGCCAGGAGCGTGGCCACCACGCTGACAGGATAATGGGCAAAGTGTTCCCATGAACGCTGACTTCCTGAATCAGCCCAGCAGCATCTCCCAGGGCTGACCTTGTCTCTGCCACCAGCCCAGAAAAAGTGGGACATCACTCCACCCTCACAAGGGACTATGCCAAAGTCAAACCCAAGGCAGCCCTGTGTTCCCAGGGCAAGGAAAAGCTCCTCGTGACTCTGCACCTCCTGCACTGCTGTGTCCACCACAAAGCTCCTGACAAGGACTTGGGCTCTAGCAAAGCTCTTGTGTCTTTTTCCTAGTTTTCCACACACAGCAGTCTTCATTTCCTTCATCAAGCCTGAATCCGGAGGCACTGCCTTGGAAATGGTTTCAATTTTCTTTCATCATTTAAGTAGCTACTAATTAATACAGGTCAGTCTGTCCCTCCAAGCGCTTGTACTAAGCTGTGCTTCCAGCTCCTTAGTGCCTTAGCCCTGATCTCCAACAGCCTGAGTCATGCACAGAGGAGGAACCAGACTCCAAGTTCTGCAAAGTCTTTTGCAGGTTTCCCTTGAACCACTCTGGGTTTCCAGCCAAACTTCTTGGATTTTGTGAGCAGATGACCTGTTCAAAGGTGTTAGAGAGGACAAGTACCTGCAGTGGGCTTCCTTGGGTTGTTTAACATGTGAACATAGCAGGGCCCACATTCAGGTTGGGGTGTGCATCAGTCCTTGGGTGACAAGAGCTTCCCTGGTGTGCTTTCATCTCCTGTTGGCCTCTCTCTCGATCTGGGTTCCTCAGGACTGAGGGAAAGGGCAGCCAGTGTGCGCTGAGGGAGGATGCAGCACACGGCCAGGACACACAGCTGAGGTCACTTGGTTTGTTCAGCCTGGAGGAGACTGAGGGCAGAGCTCATGGCTGTCTGCAGCTCCTCCTGAGGTTCAGTGGAGGGGCAGCACCAAACTCTGCTCTGGTGGACCAGCATCAGGACCCCAGGGAAGCTCTGCCAAGGCAGGGTTAGGCTGGATCTCAGGAAAAGGTTCTTCCCCCAGAGGGTGGTCAGGCACTGAACAGGCTCCCCAGGACAGTGGTCATGGCCCCAAGGCTACCAGAACTCAAGGAGCGTTTGGACAACGCTCTCAGGCATGGGGTGGGATTGCTGGGGCTGAGCAGGGCCAGGAATGGGACTTGAGTGATCCTTGTGGGTCCCTTCCAACTCAGGACATTCTATGGTGAGACAAGGGTTCACATGGCAACCCAAGTCCCAGCAGCTGAATGCTGTTCCCCCAAAGCCCCCCTGCTGCTGGGACTCTTCTGGGGGTGATTTTGGCAGCTTTCAGACAGGGACTTAGGAGGGTCCCTCTCCTTTGGCTGTGTGCTTCCTGCATCGTGCCAGCTGGTGATGCCCACCCCACAGCACTCCTCTGCTCCCTCCTGAAGGACAGGCCCAGTTTAACAGCAGAGAAATCATTCCTGGAGAATGCTGAAATTAAACAGAAGAAGGCAAGTCTGAGCCCTGTTTTCCAGGGAAGGCTCGTGCACACACTGGCGCTCACAAGACGTGCAGGACCCCAGATATTCGCCACCCGCCAGGCGTGCAGCCAGCCATGCATAACAAACAACGACCCCGTGAATGGCCACGCAGCCAAGCCAAGCTGTTTGCCTGAGCCATCCCACATTGTTCGCCCGGCTTTTCCCACTTTGAACAAGGGCTTGTGGCATCAGGAAGTTAAAAGGAGTCAGGAGGGGGGAAAAGGGGGAGTGTTTCTTTTAAAAAGAGAGTGAGATTGGAGAGGAGGACACAGGCACTCCAAACCCTGTCTGTGCTTGGTATATTAGGCAGCCAGTGCTCTTGGCTGTGAGCCCAGACGAGGCTTTTGTAATCAAAACATGATCTTGTATGCTGTGCAACCAGTGCTGAGAAAGGCCGTCTGATGGCTCTCCTCTTTTAGCTCTGCTCTGGAATCCGCCGGGCTGCGCCGATGTCCAACATGCACCGAGCTGTGAGTGCCGCCCGCGCGGGGCCTGGGAGGGGCGCGGGGCCGGGGTCCCTCACCCGAGGGGCCACGCAAGGACTCGCACACCCTGCAGGGTGGCCTTGCGGTGGCTGTCGCTTTCTTGTTGCCTTGCCTCGCCTGGCTGCCAGCAGGCAGGGGAGCAAACAGCCGTGCTGCACCACGGAGACGGTGCTGGGGGCGCATTTTGGGTGCTGGGCTTTGCGTCCCTCACTGGGGCAGGGTGCGGTGGCCGGCTCAGGACAATGTGCCTGCCGGGAGGTAGATAACAAACAGAAACGCGGGCAGTGCTGGATGGTGTCTGTCCCAGCGAGGGTTTCAGCTGCAGCTGTCAAGGAAAAGGATATTTCTTAAAAAGAGCGGATGCATTTGCTTACGCAGGAGAGTGTTAGTAAGGGCCCTGCTCCTCTCTCCTTTCCCTCCCCCCCGCCCCCTGCCTTGCTCGCTCTCCCAACCCTGCTGCCTCCAAGGCCTCGCTGCAGAGGCAGGCGATCGTGGAAGTGTGTGGGAAAGCACTACACGCACAGACAGTGTGGAGCGGAGCGTCCCTCCAGCCCCCAGGAGCTGCGTAGCCAGTGTGTGCCACTGGGGAGAGGGGCTGGGACACAACGGGCTGTCGTCATTCCATTGAAGCACGAAGCCGAGAGCTTTCCATTTGCTCCTTTTGTGACATTTTTATTTGCAATAGAATGAGGCCTCTCGTTCTGCGGCTCTGCCCTGCTGTTGGGGAGGCTTTGGGTTCAGCCGCTTGCTGATTCAAAGCCATCGCACGTTTGTGCTGCCAAAGCCATTTATAACTCAGCCGCGGTGACATACGGGCACCTTGGCTCCCCGGAAGAGCTTTACGCCGGGGAGGGCACGGTGGGGCCACTTTCCATCCCGAGCATCAGCCTGAGCACGGGCCGGGCCGGCGGGTTTGTTCCAGAAGCGGAGCAGAGGGCACGGCCCCTGCTCCCGGCCGGCAGCAGACGAGCAAATGCTGACTGGGCTGAAGTGGACAATGGGTGAGCCCCTGGAGCCCGGCGTGGGCTCCGCTCGGCGCTTCGGCCACGGGGCCACCGCCCGGCCACAGCCCCAGCATTTGCTGAAACAGGTTGTGCAGAGAGAAACACCTTCATGGCCTCGTTAATAAAGGCCAGGAGAAGTGCTGAACACCAGCAAAACTTTCCTTCCAGTAACTTGTTTCCAGCTGGAAGTGGAAAGACCCTCCTCCCCCTGACAGCAGCCCTGTTGCAGCATAGACAAAATGCTGACAAATGGGCAGAGGGAGAACGGCCTGACAGGCGTTTTCCATCTTTTGCTTTGGAAAGAGAAGAGCATAAATACAGTCTTTGCAGGAATTTTTAAATTCTTCCCGATCTGGCAGCTCTGCCAGTCCTCCTTCAAAGGAATTTGAAGATGAAAGGGGTGTGTTTGAGGGCAGGCACCACTTTGATCCCACCCTCAGCAGCCAACACCCCAGCACTCAGCAAACAGCAAACCCGCCAATTTAGTGCTCCCAGAACAGCTTCTGTTCAGGTAAACACTGAATTTGGCTTTAATCAGCCTTGCAAAATGCCCATGGAAGTGTATCCACCCACACAGGCAATCTGCTCACCTGCTGTGTACCCAATGATGAAGGGCAATGGAAAAGTCAGTCTTTCTCCCGCAGATCTTGACAAAACTCCATTGTCCAGCAGGAAAATGTGTGGAGGTGGTTTAAATGTCCCTGTTGTCCCACCTGGACAGAGATGTCCTGCAGAGATCCTCATCAGCATTAATTTTCATTAGACACTGTTGTCACCAGAATTGTAAAAACTCCCAATTGTGATCCCCTGCGGTAACCAAGGTGCTCTGAATGTCTGTGGAGGACATCTGAACCTGTGCCTGAGAACAGCCAAAGGGGAGGATCATTTACTGCATGCAGCTAAGCAGGATGTTAACCCTGCAGCCTACTGATAGCCATCAAAGTGGGCCAGCAGCTTTTTGCTCAAACTACCTCACTGCAAAACAAAAACTATAAGAAAAAAAAAGATCAGTTCTGTCAGGAAAAAGTCAGAGAGAAGTGGTGGGGAATGATTCTTCCACTTCCCACCCTGTCCAGACAGAAGGAGCAGGTTTCATCCTGTTGCTGTGATGACTGAGGAGAACTTTGCTCCTTCTCTTTCCAGGATGCTGCTGTGGATGATGTCGTGTTAAGGAAGAAAGAGCAGAAAGATGTCGAGCTCGATAAGAAAATCTTGGCCTTGCGGAAAAAGAACGAAGCGCTGATCCGAAGGTACCAGGTGAGTCCACAGGTCCTTCCCTTCCCCAGCTCTGACTTGGGGTCCTCAGCTCGCAGTGTAAAGATTGTCAGCACTATCAGCATGACTTTGTTATACAAATACCATGTTTATATTGGAAAGCTCTCGGAGCAGGTGGGCACAGCTCTGCCTTTGGTTACAGCTCCTGAGATGCTTTGGAGAACAGACACTGATGCCTCAGTGCTGCAGCATCTCCTCTCCCCCTGCCACCTTCCTCTGTCTGTGTCCCACAGCTGGGACACAAGATGGGCCACTCCCTCTTAGAGGGGGAGGTGGGTCTGTTTAGCAGAACTCCTAAACAGGAAAACAAACAACATCCGTAGACATCCAGGGACAGGCTGGTGGTAAGGTGAGATCTGTGTTTCAGGAAATAGAAGAGGACAAAAAGCGAGCAGAGCAGGAGGGAATGGCTGTTACCTCCAGGAGACCCAAGCAGGATGGACTCACTATTACCATCACCAAAGCTCACAACGTAAGTGCTGCCTTTCCTTCACGACAGACCAGCTCTCACTCCAGTCCTGCCACAGCAAAGGGACGTTTCAGAGAGAGAGACTCCACAGCAAAGCCCTTTGAGCCACAGGACACAGCTCCTAAGCCCTGAAAAGGGAGGGGAAGCTCTGCAGAGGTGTGTGCTCAGAGTGATTTTAGGTGCTGCACATACATTTTCAGCTGTGCCCAGGCACTTGTACCCATGCAGGCAGAGTTACCAGGCAGATGGATGGGTGTGTGAACAGGCACACAGTCCTGGACAGGTCTCAGGTGTCAGCATCATTGCAAATCTGTAGGCAGAGCATATCAATGGTGTGTGTGTGTCACTGGAGGCATCAGGAATGCCATAGGAAATTCATGGTCTCCTTAGGCTTTGGGAGTGAACAAAGCAGGTGGCCCTGGGCCAAAGGCTGCGAGTTCCAGGCTTCCATCCTAACTGAGCCAAATCTGTGTCTGACAAGCCCTGTCTACCCAGCCTGGCAGCGTGGGGCCTGGGAAGCCACCGGCCACTTCTGCCTTCACCCCTGGGCCAGCTCCTCTGCCAGGGCTCACATGGAGCCCACTGAGTCTGCCCAGCCCCCTTCCAGCATTCCTGGGTTCTTGGATCTGGACCAGTGCTCCCTTCCCACCCCGGCCTGGCCCTCGCCTCTCCCGGGGCGTGCTGCTGCTGCACACATTTTTCTCTCATACAGGACCTGAAAGATGCAATTACCCAGACTGAACACTATGGACAAGATAGCCCAGCCCTCCCGATGGTGAGCACCACCCTCAGCCATCCTCTTGGCTTCCAAGGCCACCTCCAGCAGGACTTAGGCTTTCCCGAGCTAACTCAGAGTGCGGCACAAAGAGCTGAGGATGACATTTGTTTCCCATAACTCTGGCATTTTAGTCTGAAATGTCAGATTTGTAAGTGCAAAGGACTTTTCAGCCCCGCTGTAATTGTGGGTTTTGCTGCTGAGCAGACAAGGAGCCCCTTGTTCTCCAGGAATGTCACGGCACCCTGCCGGGCACAGGGAACTTCCCTGGGGCAAGGTCTGCCTGTTCCGCAGCCACCTCCCCGCTTGTGTGCAGGTGTGTTTGGGGAAGGGAATCGAATCCCCGAGCCAAGGGTCTGGATTTGCTAACAGAAATGTTCGTTTTCCAGGACAAAAGGGTGGTGAGTGAGAAATGGGCAAGCCCCTGTCCTACGAGCCCTGCGTTCGGCATTGGCAGTGAGGAGGAGGAGGAGGAGGAAGCAGATCATATGTTCACATTCAGGATGGGGAAGAGGATGCAGCTGGCTGTTACCATGGACAACAAAGCAAAGGTGAGCAGGGAGGAGGATTCCACTTACACTGTGGCCTCTTGACTTACAAAGGGGCTTGTGTTCTGCCTCTCACTTGAGCTTTGTGCTCAGCATGTCACATCCAAAGGGAATAGTTCCCTTCCTGCTCCTTTTCTCTCATTTCTCAAACCTTCAGCACAGCCTCAGTTTTCATTTCGGGTTGCCACACACTTCCCTCCCCATTTCTGATTCCCAGGGATCAGACCCTGGGCCTTGCTAAACCCTCTGGTGGCTCCCCACACCCACCCACGGGTAGCCAGGTCCCTTTCTGAGGGATCAGTCACCTCGTTGCCCTTCTGGGCCACTCTGGTGTTAAACTGTGTTGCTGTGATTGGAAAGGGGTTGGAAACAAGTGGGAGCTCAGACAGATTTAGCTGCATTATTCCCCAACTATTCCCAGGGAGGCAGTGATGCTTGGTGGTAAAAGCAGCATCATTTCTCCCTGATACTGCATTCCAGAACGTCCTGAATGCAGAAGGAAAAACAGAGTGAGATGAGTGTCGCTTTCAGCTGCCAGTGAGATGGGCAGGAAGTGTGACCCAGTATTTGCAGACTTAATTAAAAATTGTGTGAAAAGGCAAAAGTAATTGAAAACGCTACTTCGTTTTTTAAATCCTGAGACATCCCCTCCTGGGCACTGCCCCCTTCCTTGTGGAGCCTGTGCATCCAGATATAATGATTCTTGTCTCTGTCACAGCAGCGCTGGGAAAAGGAAAGGGTGGCAGCAAGTGGTGCTCCCGTGAGTCCCCTTTTAGACACAGTGACGTGTGGGTTTGTGGCACTGAGGTCCAATCCAAAGCCATTCCCTGGGATAAGGAAGAGAAGCCCCACCCTTCCTGCTGCCCCGGACTTTGGGGCAGGAGTGCTGCAAACCTTGGCTGTCAGCAAAAGGCAGGAGCTGTTTTCTCCCTCTGAGGCAGCTTGGAAATGTTTTCCTGATTTTGTGCCTCGAATGCCTGTTCATTTGTTTCCCAGTGACCTAGTTACCCTTTCTTTCCAGGGAGAAATAGGCCACAGTCACTGTGCCATTAGAAAGTAATTTTATGTTACCTTGAAGGAACTGAATCGCTTCGGAAAAAATGCACCTTTCCGAATGATTTTTCAGGAGAAAGGGACAGACGCCTCTCATTCCCTTTGTTCCAGACAGAGCACCAGGAGTGTGAACATCCCGTTCAAATGAAATCTCATTCCAGCACAGCCAAACCCTCTCCTGATGTGAGGGGGGAAATTCTGTTTTTTTCTCAGAACAGAGGGTCCCTGAAACCTCCAGCTGTGACTGTAGTGTAGGGACCAGGCAGTCCCTGCCTCCGCTGCAGTGTCGCAGCCGCCTGTCATGTTGTGACACCCACTTGTCTGCCTGTGGCAGATGCCAAACGAGTTGTGCTCCATCCTGAAATGATCAGCTTTTTCTGCCTCAGGAACAGACCTTGCCATCTCTAGGGCTGGCTCACAGATGTCAGAGCAGGAGCCTGCCTTGACCCCAACACAGAGATCGGCACGGACGGTGCTAAAATGGCACAGGACACCTCGGCAGCACGTCCTTGCTTTGAACCCAACATATGGCTTCACTTAGTGCAAGAAAAGCAGGAACGGCAAAGGTCGTCCTGAGGGCAGCAAAACTTGTTAGGAGCTGCAGCTGGAACCCAAAAGTAGAGCTGTACATCCTCAAGGGGATGTGTAACAAGGTTCCCACCGTGTCCACACAGCTGGGACAGGCAGGACCATCAGCAGCGCAGGGACCACTCCTCCTTTCCCCTGCATCCTCTGCTGGGCTGCCAAGATCACCCAGATGTGAAAGATGAATAAACCAGAGGCTGAGGCTCTGCTGCTGGAAATCCTGCAGTGTCTCCTCAGACATTTCTCATGTGTTAGGAGGTTCGATGACTAAGAAGCCATAAAAAAGGTTGTGCTGACGGAGGCTGTGCACAGCAAGGCTCCCTCCACGCCAACATCTGCACTCCTGGCAGAGCTGAGGGGAGATGAGGCTAATGTGAGCCTTCTTGGTATCATATGTCATGGCAGAGTCCTTGATTGCAAGTCTTCACTACAAATCAGAGGTCAGGGTGTGCTGTTTGTTTTTGAAACCAAGTTCATAGCAACAAAGAGTTCCCAAGTTTCACTGAAGTTTCCTTGGAGATTTTGAGCTCCTTTAAAATCAAGATTCCAGTATGCGTGGAATCCCAAGGAGGAAAAGAGGAAAACACACCATCCTTTACAGAGGGAAGCTGCTGAGGTTCCTTCATCCCTGGTAAAATTGAGCAGACTTCATACAGATGAAGAGAAAAGAAAAAGATCAGAGGTAATGATGGAGATGACGTAGTAAGTCTCTCATTTCCTTGTAAGGCAAAAATAAAAAGGCACATGATTGACCCGAAAGATGATACTTTTAAATGAGAAGAAGTATGTCTTTTTGCACAAATGATGTGCTCATGTTGTGGAAGTGATGGTTGAGGGCATTGGCAGGGGCTCAGCCAGCAACAAAGATCATTAACAAAATAAGAACCATATGGAAATCCATGCAGGGAAGTCATGACGCTGATACGAACAGCTGGAAATAATATCTGAGAGGGGGAACTGCCCTTGCTCAAGGAGTTTATAGATCAGTTTCCTAAACTATTCCACTGCTGAATAAATCATTCCAGAAATATGAACACACAATGACTATGAAATGATAAATTATCGAGTGTTAATACACTTCAGGGGAGTAACTGCTTTGTGGGCAAGGCTGGAGAGAACTCCACTGTTCCCTTCCTCTTCCACCCTCTCAGCTTCTGCTCCGAGGTGGCCTCACATTTTATTGTGTGTGAGGTGGGGACAACTTCACATTTGCTTCAAAGACACAAACGCAAGCTGAAAATAAAACCATCCAGCAGCGTCCGTGCTGCAAGGTAAATCCCACCCTGCCTGTCTGTGCCCAGCTGAACACACCTCCGTAATGTAACATCCCAGATGCCTTCGAGTGGGGTGACAGCTCTGTAAGCCAAGGGGACTGACTGCCCAGCTCATTTTCTGTTCTGCCAGCCCTGGATCCTTTGAAGCCTGGGATGGCCACTGTCCAAGGCAGGCTGTTGGAGGTGTCCCTAACTCATCCTGTCCCCCCAGGGCAAGCGGATCGTCAGCGAGAAACGTGCCGAGAGCTTCCCCGGCCCGGGCCGGGTGCCAGAGCTGGGCGAGGAGGACACGGACCACTTGGTGGCTTTCCGGCGGGGCAGGAGGATGCAGATTGCCATCACCATGGATAACAAGGAAAAGGTACGTGGCTGTAACCGAGCCGTGGCATCCACTTGTTCTGCTGACATGAGGAGAGCCCAGCCACAGGGGGCTGGGAGAGACTGTGTGTTAATAGTGTGGAGACACCGGATCCATAGAGAGATGCTGTTTTGGGAGGACTGATGAAATCACTGCCAGATATGGGGCATGAATCTCACCTTCTCTCTCTTGCCAGCTTCTTTTTGGGGCCACACAGCAGACTGGGACAGGAGCAGTGTCCTCCTGACTCACTGCACGACTTAAACCTTAACAGAGCTGGGCAATATCTGCTTCTGAACCCAAGTCCTGCTGTGCCTGGCCATCACCTGCTGAGTGATGTTTGAAACATATCTTTGAAACGTGTTTCAAATACTTCTTTGCAAATACCTTCCTCGTTACACACACGGAGGCATGTGCTATTCTCCTCTTGGAGAGTTTTCACAGATAAGAAAGAATGCCTGCAGCAAACAGGGTCAGCAAAGCCTGTGTAGGAAAATAACACTCGGAGTGGCTGCCAAACACACCCAGGAATGCTGGGAGACGTCTGCAGCCCCCTCTCTGGGGCAGTGCCAACCATCTGCTGCTGCTGCCCACACTCATCTTCAGCTTCTCCCCCCACTTAGGGCTTACCTGGGCTCTGAGTGCTCCTACCATGTGGCTGCCAAGCAGCTTTTTGGATGCCATAAACCTCGTGTGAGCTGCCTGATTGAGCCACTGGTAGCCCCAGAGGTCCATGGGACAGGCACTACCATTTCAGTCTGGGAATCACCAACACACTTGGACATGATGGGAGTGACTTGGCCATGCCTGTGCTGTCCCTGTCCTTGAGGCTGTCCAATGTGCTTCTGTGATGTGCAGGACAAGTGTCCCCACTTCTGCTCTTGCTGGGCTTGTTAAAACACTTGTCTCTGTGGTCATCAAGGCTGGGGCTGTGCTAGGAGAGAGCAGCAGGAGCAGTGCGTGGATTTTGGCTTCAGATCCTGTGCTCTCCTGTAAGTGTATGGACAGCCCTGGAAAAGGTCACCTCCCATCTGGTTTCGTTATGGAACATGAAATGTGAGGCTGAGCGTCCACGTACAGGAGTTTGGCGATGCCTTGCTCATACTGGCCCCAAAGCACCTGATATTCAGAGTGTGCATGAGGGCACCAGCTGGTGGGTGGCAGAGGGTGGCACTGAAGCTCGGGCACTCTTCTGGCAGCCGTGGGCTGTGAGGGAAGCTGTGAGGTGCCAAGGGGGAGCCAGTGCTGATATCTTCAGGGAAAGGGATTATGCAGAGCTGTTTGGGTCCTCCATTGCCTTGGCTGAGCAAGAGAAGGATCTGTCAGGAGCATAGGAAAGCCACAGGGGCTTCATATAACTCTAGTTATCCAACACTTCCAAGGAGCACACCACACTTTGTGCTGGCACAGACAAAATGTCCCCTGCTTCTGCCACCGAGCTTTAGGCATAGCCACTCCAGCCTGTGGGAAGCTCCTGCTCTCTGGAAAGCAGCATGCTTCCAGGGAATGTGCTGTCCCAGGCTGCACAGGAGGCAGGGAGCAGGCACTGGGGCTGCCACAGAGCCCAGCTCCCACGGCTGGGAAATGGAGGGGCAGGAAGGGTCTCTTAATGAGCTTATTTAAATTGGGCTTTCATGGGAGTATTTGTTGTTGGTCCTTGGATTCCTCTTACAATTCAGAAAGAGCTATAAAAGTATTTGAAGCTCTGGTTTCCAATAGCTGTTACCAGCTGGATATGTTTCAGAGTCCAGCTGAGCTCAGGAGAATTCCTTGTTCCTGGTGATTTCCCTGGGCTGATCAGGCCCTGTTCCATCCCTGGTTAATGAGGATATCTTCCTATTGCCATGTGAATTGTGTCACCTCAGGCAACAGCTCCAGCAGCCAGGACAAAATCCAAATCCTTCCAATGAGACAAAAGGATGTGGCTGTAAGGGAGTGAAATGCTGGATTTCATGTCACCTCTGCAAGCTGCTTCCTTCTGTCCACACTTGGGCAACCTTCTCCCGGGATCAGTGACAGAAGCAGATGGGGCCTGAAGTGACAGGTCACGTTGGCATCTCACACATGGTGCCAGCCTGGGCTGGTGGAGTCCGGGGAGGTTTGGGCTGGCCCACCCTGTCCCTTCAGCTGATCCTAAGCTGTGTCAGGGATTAGTGTTTTAAACAAATACTTCTTCGCTATCAGTGAGGGTCCTTGAAAACTGAGCCCAGGCAGGTCTGTCTCACATCTGTGCTGCAGAGGGATGTGTTCTCCAGGAGGGACTGGGAGCCTGCAGAGGCAACACCACCAAATGTACAAAGCCTGTGGGAATGACTGTAGCCTGCAGGGAATGACTGTGCCACAGAGGTGGTGCACATGGAGCATTTGCAGCAGCAGCACAGAGTCAGGGAAAGAGGAGAAGACCAGGGAAGCCTGTAGTCATCCCTCCCCTCCTACACTCACCATCCTACAAATTAGGGCCCTTCTCTGCCAAGAACAGCATCATTCTCCTTGATAGGCTTCTCTTTGCCTAAATTGCACTCTTTTTCTTCTTTGGGTCCATCCAAACTGTATCCCTTCCAAGCAGCCAGGAGCTGCAGTGTTAAGTGATGTGCTGGGCTGGAACATCCATCCCTTCTCTCTCTTCAGCCTCGCTCCCTGATAGCTCCATTTGCCGTTCCTGTTTCATGGGAAGCAGTTCATAGATCATCCCCTGGTCACTTCCCAAAGCACGAATGATTTTATCGATCCCTGTCAGGTCTCCCTTCAGCCACCTCATAAACCTTAAGACACTTCCCCTACTTAGCCATGTCTGCCGAGGATGTGGTCCTATATTTCCAATCACTCTCATTATCCCCATTTGTGCTTTGCTTATTTTTACCATATTCTTTCAGTACATGCAGACCAGAAGTACACATGGTATTCCAGCTGTGGGCTCTCCTGGGCACACTCAGTGACACAGCAATGTTTTTGGCTTGTTCTCTATTCTTCTCCCAACAACTTTGCATTTTCTTTGCTAAATAATTGAGCTAACATTTTCAGAGAACTGGTCACAACAGCACCAAAACATCATCCCTGACTGTTAGGCAGAGCTCAGTGCTGGTTACTCTGTGTGTGTACACAAGGAGGGCATTTTCTCCGTGGGAGTTATTTTGTGTTCCTGATATTGAATTTCAGCTGTAATTTTATGATGCAGACATTCAATGTCAAGAGATCTTTTGCAGCTCTTTCCGGGCAAATTACATTCTTTGCCCTGGATGATTTAGTAGCATCAGCAAACTGTCATCCCTCTCTTCAGCTCCTTTTCCAGACCATTTATGAGCATGTTGAGCAGCACATATTCCAGTGGCACACTCCTGCTAATCTTCTGCCATGGAAACAGCCATTTCCTTGCCACTTTTTCTTTTCTACCTTTTAATCAGTTGTTAATCCAAAAGAGAAACTCCATCTTCATCTCCAGAATGAGCAGCTACTGGGAGAGCCTGGTGGGGGGTCAGTGTTGTCATCTGTCTAGCTGAGTGTTAGGACCTGATCTGGGACCCCCAATTCAAGGATTAGCTTTCAGCCTCTCATTCATCCCAGCATAGGCCATCCTTTGGGGGTTTTCACCTCAAGCCCCAGCTGGTTCCCTGCTCTTTTGGGGTTCCCACAGAGGCCTAGGAGAAAGGATCACATCCGTCACTCCCCCTTCAGTAGCCTGGACACTGGCACATTTGCTCTCCCTGCAGCAGGGCTGGGGACAGTGCCTCCTGTTCAGCCCTAAAAAGCCACTCCATGCTCTGGCAGTGTTTCAGGCTCATTAATACGCCAGAGCTGAGAGACAGCAGCCCAGGACCAGCAGAGCACAATGGTTAATTAACAGGTTACAAATCATCTCTTAAGTGGGTGGTTGATAGAGCTTCAGGGCTTTTAAATTGTCCTTTTATTAACAGAGTTTCCCAGGATGGTGTATCAGAAATTACTGTAATCAAGAGACACAAAAGCTGCTTTCAGGCACTAACACAGATGTGTTGGACTCCAGTGCTTGCACAGGAGAGTAACCAAACCTGTGGCAGGAGAAACACTCGCTTTTCCATTGCAGGTGGGAGAGGAAAATAGGCAGAAAGGGTGGCTGAGAAGTCTTTAGCTCCCTTCAGGCAGCACAATCAGGAGGCAGATTTTTCAAAAGAGTTAGAAAAAAAGAAATCCTCTTGTGTACTAGTTTCAAAAATCCTGCCCAGTGGGGGATCTGAGCACTGGAAAACCAGCTCTAAGCTCCTACAAAAATCTCCTCCCGCAGCAGAAATGCCAGTTGTGGTGCTGACACGTGCCTGGAGAAATGGGTACCAAAAGGTTAATTTAACTCATCTGTCAGTACCTATTTTTAAAATAAGAAGACAGTGAAGTAGCTCAAAGATGTGGAAGCCTGTCAAAGCTTTTGGAGAACTGTGAGCACAAAGCAGTGCTGAACGTGGCTGGTTAATGGCACCAGCACTGTCACCACTGCCCAGGGACAGTACCTGGGAATATGTGTTGGGAGGCCAGACAGACCTCTGTCCTGGGTCAGAGCGGGCTCTGCCCCACCCCGGGCTGAGAAACTGAGAAATCCTGGCATAAACCTTGGGATAAACAACCATAATCTTCCCTCTCTGCCTCAGGCTTTTGTGCCCTCCCCCTGCTCTGCAGGAACAGTTAGACGAGGGATGATGATGTCCTTGTCATTTTTCATAATTTTGGGGGCGGAGAGGAGGAAGAAGGAGAAAAATATGTTTTGCTTCCTTGTGGTGTGTGGTGAGAGGGGAGCAGCAGCTCTGGGGCAGCAGGACAATGGGAAATCTGCTCCAGAGCCAGAGCCAGAGCAAAGCTGGCTGTTCTCTGCTCAGCTCAGACCTGCTGTCCTGGTACAAAAGAGCTACATTTTTGTGGTCTTCTCAATTTTCCACAAGGCCCTTTGAGAAGCAAAAATAGCTGCAGACTAAAGCCAAAGGCATGGCTTGGAGTGAGGGTGCAAAGGGGTGGAGGGTTGTGTGGTGTCCCTGTGACCCAGCGGTTTGTGGAGGGCACTGACGAGCGAGTGCTCTGAGCGGGACAGCCCTGGGATGCAGGGCTCTGGGACATTCTCTGGGATGCAGTCTCCGGAATGCAGGACTCTGGGATGCAGGTCTCCAGGACAGCCTCTGGGATGCAGGTCTCCGGCACTGACCAGCCATGCAGGAGCTGCCTGTTCCCCCGTATCCCGCGAGCCGCAGCACGATCCCTCACCCGGGCCATCCCTGCGGGTTCCCTGGGCACTGGCTGGTTCCCGGCTGCTCCAGGGCTGGAGGGAAGCTGTGCTGGCTGCAGGCAGAGCTCACTGCTCCCCCCAGCTTACTCACGGCCTGGCTCAGCGCTCCAGCTGTGCAGATGCTCCGGCTTTCCGGTTCCTGTCTTTGGGGGCACAGTCGGGCATTGTAAAGGGGCCAGACGGAATCACTCTTTGCATGAGCCTGGGGGGAGATAGGCAGGCTCAGCTGGAACACTGAGCACACACGGCCCTGCAGCTCCCTGGCTGTTTCCCCATCAATCATAAGCTGTTGGGCATTTTGGAGGCAAACGGTGCTCCTTCTCTCCCATCTCTCCCCCCACACCCCTCCACATGGAGGGGCTCCCGCTCTCCTGCAGTAACTGACCCCTTTGTCCCCTTTCCAAAAGAAGTTCTAGTTTCACTTGCAGCTGCTTTAAGGCTAAAGGCTCCTCTGCACCTTGCTCCCAGCCAGCTCCCTAAATAAGCAAGCTTTCCAGGTTTCTGCTGTTTAATCGCTCTGTAAATGCTCAGTTTTGGGGTGCAGAGGCTCGTTGGATCCCTCGCTACAGGGTTCTTCTCGTGGGGCTGCACCAGCAGGGGGCTTGGAGTCCAGAGGGAGCGTTTTTGTTGTCACAAGTTTTCACAGCAACATTTTGAAATAAATCCTCAATATCATCTTTCACCATATCCCCTTTTGCTGCACACAGGACATGGTGAGGAGTGGCTTTTCTGAGCACCCCCAAAATCTTTGCTGAAAAATCCCAGGACAATATAGCTACCATTTTCCTCATTATTTCCAAGGATCTGTTTTCACAAGCTTCCATCCACACTGGAGCTACCAGTCAGCCCGGTGAAGCTGTTGTGCACCAAGGGCAGTGTCCCTGAGCAGTGGCTGTATGGCCACACTTCCCACCTGCCTCAGACTTAGTGTGTGTGGGCAGGCCCCCAAAAGCCTGTCCCCAGCTCTCTCCCTCCGTGATCCCAGCGGGTATGTGGGAACAGCCGGCAGCGGGATGAGTTGCCTTAGGAGATTGGGCAGAGCTGCAGGTATTGAGACTGATAGCCCGAGTTTCCCGCATCCAACCCTGTAAAACTAAACCTGGGACTGCCAAATGCCTGGAATAAAAGTCCTGTTTCCAGCCTGGGCTGGATCCCACCGCGCTGCTGCTTTCTGGAAGGGCTGAGCTGGCAGTTCGTGCTCCATGTTCCTCTTTGTGTTTCAGTTCTGCTTGGCACTGCACAATGGCAGCTCAGCCCACACTCCCCTGGCCCTGCAGCCATCCAGCCAGGCAGGAAGCCTTTCCTAACACATCTCTGTGCTCTGCAGGCTGTTCTGCTGAGAGGTGACAGCATGGGTAAACCCAGTGGGAGCAGGGATGGATCCCGGTACAAGGGCACCCATGTTTGCCAAGGACAAAAATCACTCCCAGCTTGACCATGCTGGCTTTTAGCTGCACCTTAGGTGGGCTCCCAGGTCTTGTGCAGTTGAATCACAAGCTGTGTCTTTGGCCCAAATCTGAAACTTGGTCTGACTTTGAAAGAAATGGGACTATACAGGACGGCTCTCGGCCTCTCCCTTGGGAGGAGGGAGGGACCAGTGGGAATGCTTTTCTCACACACCTCTTGCTCTCTGATTTCCCTTTTTTTCTATACCAGCTTGATTCAGGACCCCAGAAACCAATCCTTCCTCTTTTGCTGACCTTTTCTGAGCAGTTCTTACATGTCCGGGTGGGCACAGGGTCAGGCACTGGCTCCCCTGCCAGGAGTCCTTGCTTAATCCTTGAAATGACTCCTGTGTCTGTGCTCTTGCAGGCAGAGGAGCGGAGAACAGCAGAGAAGAGGAGATCAGACAGTGACAGAGGCCCAGAAAGTGAGCACAGCCGGAAGGTGAGTGGGACCTGTGTCCCTTTGGGGGACCATTGTCTTGGAAGAGGAAACCAGTAGGATGTGCCTCCCCACCACTGTCCTGAAGGAAGGTGATCTTTAAGGTCCCTTCCGACCCAAACCCTCCTGTAATTCTGTGAAGCAGCAGTGTGCTCTCATGTGGCCCCCACTGCTCATCCCGCTCCTCATCCGAAGTGTAACCGAGCAGTTGACACTCTTAGAGCAAAGCAGTGCTGGAAAGGTGACAGGGACCTGCCTTGTGGCTGCTCAAGCCCCTCACACAGCTGCAGGGAAGGGTAACATGCTCACCCCTGTGGCAGCACAGCCCTGGCTGGTTCCTCTCCCAAAACCATTTCCTTGTGGATTGAAGAGCTCGGGCCGCATTAGCTACAGCTCCTCACTTTGCAGGAGCTGAGGAGGATGGAGGTAAATTAAAGCAGAGGCCTTCCCACTGACTGTTTAATGCAAAGCCTGGAGACATGCTGGCTCCCCTGAGCCTGCAGATGCTTTAATTAATGGAGCACAAATGGAATAACCCCACCTCAGCAGGATTCATTAGGAGGACACAGATGGGCTCCTAGACAATAATTCCAGCTGAGCCCCCCAGAGCAGGAAAGGGGAACACGATGGCCTGTGGTCCAGCCAACCACAGCTCTGCTGTCGCTGAGGTGAGGGACCGGCCCTTCCTGCTCCGTGGGCCCACGAGAGACCGTGGCACCAGCCTCGGTCCTGCCCTCACTTTTGGCTTTATGGGTGCATCAGGATCCATCCTGGCAGGACCCACCGTGGGGCTGGAAGTGTGGGGGAGCCTCTCCAGGTGCCCCGGCCCAGGGCTCCGTGCTTGCCCTGGCTTTGTCCTGCTGTGCCCTGCCTTTCTGTTCGCCTCCTCTCTCCCTCCCCGGGGCCGTGGGCTCAGGTGCCCCAGCTCCTGCCAGCCCAGGATGGAGGAGCACTTGGAGCCACCCCAGCTCCAGCCCACGCGGGTGGGTCACCTCGGTAACGGGGCTTTCTGTGCCGCCCTCCCGCTGCTCCGCTTTCATCCCCACAGGCTGAGGGGGGAACTCCTCTCTGGGGAAGGGCTGAGGGCGGCTGCTGGAAGGACACGTGTGTGAGGTGATGAATTGCCTGCTGGTAATTAGCACCCCAGGACTGGCTCTGCACTGAGCTGTTCCCTGCGCTCTGTTGCTTGACAACACACCACGGCCTGCCAGCTCCTGTTTCCACTGCATCCATTAACCTGACAGCTGGGATACCTCCCCCCACATGCTCCCTTAGCTCTGAACTGCCTTTTCATTAAGATCTCAATTTTTGAGGAGTGACAAACCAAGAGCCTGACAGCAGTGAAGGGGAAGAGCTCCTTTGCTCCAGGAATGGGCACAGGGTCGACCCGAGCTCTGTGACTGTGGGCTCCCATGGGTGCCTGGTGGTCACAGAAGGCTGGCTTCCTTTTCCACCTTCTCAGTGTGAAGGATTTCATAGCCATAACTTTGATTTTAGTGTGCCAAAGTCTTCAGGGTGGGGGGACTCATCAGCCCGGTGCATGTTCCGCGTGAGTTCAGCCTCTCAAACCCTGCTGCAAACACTCCAGGAACTGACTATTTGCCATAAGTAAACCTTAGCAAAGTGGCTTTTCCAGGAAAATCTGAGAACATTTGGGTTTAAAACCTTCACATGAGCAGTGAAGGCCGCTGTCTAATTTAAACCCACAGTTAAAGTGGCTGCAGGTACAAATGCAGTGAACTCATCCTGTGGCCATTTGCACGTGGAATTACAGGGGCAGGCTCCAAAAGGTTGTAATCAGGGACTGAACATCTAGAATGAAAAAATACATCTTATGGGAGCTGCTTCCCAGATATGGAGGTTGAATAGCACTCCAAGAACCAAGGAAACACTGTGGTTTGGGTTAGGGAAACAGCAGTGACACCCCACCTCTTTAAGGTAAAAGGAATGTGTCCAGATGGCATAATCCAGGGCTTTAGATTAAAGTTATTGTAATAATTTGAAATGTCAAAACTCTTCCTGCAGTCTGGATGAAGTGGAACAACTTCTCAGAAATACATTGCAACCAATTATCATTGTATTGTTGAACATAATCCCCAGAAGTGTCCAAGGCCAGGTTGGATGGGCCAACAAGATGAACTTTAAGGTCCCTTCCAATCCAAACCAGTCTGTGATTCCATGAATATCCCTGGAAGGGAGTGGTTGCTTGCTGTGATTTGGCTGTGGATTTACAATGTGGCTCCAGGCAATCCATGTAGCTTCTTCCTGCCTCATTTTTCCTCTCTGTAGAGCCAGCAAGCCCAGGACTGGTGTATTTGGGGTGTGAGTGAAGCAGAGCCCTGGGTGTGCACAGCACTGCAGAGAGGGGAGCTGAGCTCGCTCCAGGTTGTTCTTAAATCCTGCTGAGCATTTCTGGTGGTGACAGCACAAAGTACCCTGAACGGGGCTGTTTCAGGCAGTTTTATTAACCAGAAGCTCTTTTCCCTCCCCCAGGATGGTGGGAAGTCAGTGCAGAAGAGCCCTGGAGACGGGAGTTTCCCCATGACTGGCCGGGAACGCTCCGAGTACATCCGCTGGAAGAGGGAGAGGGAGCAGATTGACCTGGAGCGCCTGGCACGGCACAAGAACGCCAAGGGCGAGTGGCGGCGGGCTTGGGATGTGGAGAAGTCGGAGCACATGTAGGTCCTTCCCTGTGCCAGGGGAGTTTGCCTGCAGAGGCCTAAAGCCAGTGGTGGGATCTGGTGCAGATACTGATTGCCGAGCACATCCCGTGCTGTCCTGTGCCTCTCCCTGGCCAAATCCACACTGCTGCCTCTTTCTCCCCCTGACCATGTGGGATCAGATAACAGTCCACAGGTTCTCTCACTGCCCTGCTTGTTTGTCCTTTTCAAGCACAGGAGAGTCCAACGTCCCTAAATCCTCCCCACCCCATACACTGAGCCTGTTCAGGCACTGCAGGTTGAGGGGCTCACCCAAAGGGCCACCTGTGGGATACAGGAGCAGTGCTGGGGACAGCAATGTGGGAGAGCTGGGAATGGGACTGACACATCCCTGCCTTAATCACTGTCCCCCTGACTGTGCTGCTTCAGCTGGGTAACACCACCTAGGGAGCTTTGGAGCCTTATCCTGGCACCTGCAGCAGGATAAGGCTCTGGTAGGGTTTGGAGTTTGGGAATGTTACAAAGGTTTGCTGATAGAACAGGTCGTGCAGGGCAGGTAGGTGGGACAGTCCTTTGGCTGAGGAATGGGACCAAACACATCAATTTTCAGTCACTGAGACCTCAATAATTAGAGGTGAACTGTCTTAAGTGGGTGCTGAGTGTTGCTGGCAAGACAGCCCTGAGCCCTACTGCTCTCTCATATATCAATTTTTAAGAGGAAAGTCATAACACAAAATAAGCAGGACTAGAAACGAACCAGATGAGTCTGATCTGAGATGACAAGTCCTAAAGCTACTTCAGGCTATGTTTGGAAGCTTTGGGAAGCTTCATTTGAGCACGGCACAGCTACACTACAGGCATCTATAGGGAGTTCACAGAACTTAACATATACATGTGGGTACTGATGTAAAGGTTTTGGAGGCTCTCCTTTGGGGTAGAATTGCCTTACAGCCTCATTTCTCCTGGCTGGTGCAGCAGCTTCAGCTCCTACTGAGAAACCTGCCCAGGTTTGCCCATGGGCAGGTGCCGAAGGGCTGAGGGCTCCTGCCCACACTTTGCACACTGGGGGAGGATGGTCAGGTCTGACAATGCCTGTTTTTAACCTGCAGGTTTGAAGAGGACTTTGTTAAGGATGGGGAGCCAGCCTTGGATAATCCCAGCAATAAGAAAGGTTGGCAGGGGACACCTAGACTCTGTCCTGACACCAGTGAGCGCTGGTCCTGTGCACCCCAGTGCTGCAGCAGCTGCCGGGGCTGTGTCAGCTGAGAAGCTCTGCTTCCCTGGGCAAATGCCTCTGAGCTGGGGCTCAGCCCTCCCTGGGCTGGGCAGGGGGCTCAGGGGATGGGATTTGAGCTGGGTGCTAGAGCTTTGAACCTTCCTAGAGCTTTGGACCTTCCCAGGGACAACACTTGCTTCTGTAACCTGGGACGACACCATCCGGAGGCTCAGCCCTGTCTCCTTTCCCAAACACTGGTTTGAGAGGCAATCCTATTCCAGAGCACAGCATCTCTGATCCCTGGGGCACATGCTGGCTTCTTTACTAGCATTAGTCCATCCTGACTCCTGTTGCTCAGGAGATGGACTGGCAGAACCAGGCTTTCCCTTGTGACACCCTGTTTGAACATCAGCCTTTCTGCTGCCTGTCCATTGCAGACTCTCACTCACTTCGGTGCTTCCTTTGCTGTGTCCTTGCAGGGGGAAGAAATGCAAGGAAATTTCAGCACAGGTCCTTTCCTGCCGATGGCAGAGGTGAGTAAGCCACAGGATTCTTTTGTGCCACCCCACTAAATGCCAGCACCTCTGATACTCCTCGTGGAGAGAGTTCTCTCCAGGCACTCACAGATTTGGAGTGGCTTTTGGGGACAGACCACATGGCTGCTCTCATATCTGTGTGCAGGGGAGAACAAGACTTCCAAGAACAGCACAAGGAAGACTATATCCAAGGAATAAGATTTAAAGCTATAATTGGAATTTGGAATAAAAAAAAAACCAACAAAACAAAACCACAGAATAAACACCCTAAATTCTCAATTTGTATTTATGACTTTAAAAAACAGATGTGCAGTATGCACACAGCTTCAGAGGCTTCCCACTCCAGAGGTACTTTCCAGGGATCCAAGGATTTTAACATCTCCAGGGGTCTGGAGGACTGGAAGCAGCAGGCTGGTCGTGCCTGCTTTTGCCTGGCATTTCCAACCCGTTTTGCAGGTGGAGGACACCACGGGGTGAACGTGAGCGACCCTGGCCCGAAGGCAGTGCCCGCCGTGAGCAGCCGTGCCAAGGGGAAGGACAGACTGACGGGCAGAGCCAGGAGGTGAGGAGCTGGCAGCAGGGCCGTGCTGGGCTCACTCCTTGCCTAACTGGGAAGAGGGACAGACAAAACCAGATACTTTCTGTGGTGTCTGGTAGGAATTCCCTTGGTGGGGTTTGTGGGACTTTTGGGGTGTATCGTCGCTGTCCTGACCTGCTGCACCAGCTCTCTGAGAACAGCCCGGGGGGTCAGGTTACTCTGGGTCCAGATTTGGGTACCACTGGCACACCCCAGCAAGCTTTTGGACACATCTGGTCTGGCTTCCAGGCACGGCTGAAACGGAGGAGCCGCCTCCAAAGATACTTCCCAAATGAACCAATAGGAATGGGGATTGACACTGTGGTACAAGTGGCTTTAATTCTTCTGAAACAACTGCTCTTAAAGATACCAACCCTGGTGAGGAGGGAGGAGGCTGCTCCTGCCAGCAACGCAGTCATTTGCACAGAAGGAATTTCAGAATATCAGCAAAACCATGTTTTGCAGGGAGAAATATGTGCATATGTTATATATGTGTATATTATATATACCATGTTTGTGACCTGTAAGTCAGCAGGCACACACACAAGCAGGGAAGGGTTCCTCAGCCCTTCCCTGCCCAGTAGCACTGCATGGGCAGGTTCAGATTTATATTTATATTCACCCAGCAAATTCAGACAAGCCAAGGAAAGCAGTTCCTCACACAGCCTTTCACGAAGCCGTGGCCCTCCTTGGCACAGGATGTTGTAGCTGCTGCAAATTTATTATGGGGTCAAAATGCACTCACACAAATCCTTGGGAGAGACTGTCTGCTAAACTCAGCATGACTCAACAGAGATACCATCTCAGGCTCAGGAAATCCTAGAGCCACTTGTTCCTGGAAGCTGGGGAGGGAACAGGGGGTAGGTCAGCGCATTTTTCCTCTTTCCAAACCCTACCCTAAGCATCTGCCAGTGATGCTGGGAATGTAAAAGCAATTTTATCCTTCAGCATCTCCCTCTGTGACCTGGGACACTTGGGCACTGTCAGGCAAACAGGACCAGGCTGTGGCAAGCACCAGCACAAGCAAACTGTATCTTCTTAGTCTAACTCAACTGTCTGTTCTGGCAATTGGAGTTTATGTTTTCATTACAATTAGAATTATAACAACCAGTTCATTAAGATTTAGTGGCCTCAGATGAGTGTCTCTGGATGGGCCTGGACAGGGGGCTCAGACAAGGAATGAATGGCCCTGGTAGGAATCCCTACCAGGTGTCAGGCAGGGACAGTGGCTTTGCCATATGAGAACTTGAGGGCCTAAATTCTGATTTAATTTTTTTCTTGACAGGTGGGATGCAAAAGAAGGCGAGGACATGTCTTTTCTGAAGGATGACCTTGATGGCCAGGTGAGCTCAGGAGTTCCAGGCTGGCTGCTGAGTTTTCCCAACACATGCACTACCAGGAAAGTTGGATTATCTGAGCCACTGTGAGCTGGGACCTCTGTTTTGGGGTCAGTGTATCCCTCATTAGCACTCTCCACATGGCATGGTGTGACAGCAGCTTCAGTGCTTGCACTGCCCCTCTGTCAGCACAACCACCCAACTATTCTGGCCCCTGAACACTTCACCTACATCCCTTCACACTTTTTAATGGCCTTTGCAAATTTTCCCTCAAGTTTTGAGAACCCTCAGAGGCAAGAAGTACCATCTACTGGTATTTTAAAAAGCTGAACTAAATGTCTCCTTTGTTTCTCAGAGGAGCCTTGGTGTGGACAAGCGGAAGAGCAGAGGAGAGGAGGGGGTGGAAGAGAACTGCACAGCTGAGCAGGAGGAGAAGGGGAAGCAGCCAAGCCTCCAGGATCACGGGGCCTCCTCGTCCCAGCGGCTGCGAAGGGAAGGGGGGAAGGTCCATCCTGCCCACAACGGGCAGAAGGAGGAGCGGAGAGGGGTGAAGGGCTGCAGCACGGAGGTGTCTGTGACCAGCACAGGGGACTCAGAGCCAGGGCCCAAGCCAAGCAAGGAAAGTGTTGGGGAAGATGCCAATGGGAAGCCTGGCACCGCTGACACCTCCCAGGAGAAGGAGAGCACTGGCAGCACTGCTCCTGCGAGCAGCCTCCCAAGCACTGTGCCAGCCACCAGCGAGGAGACTTTGTCCCTGCCCATGGGAACAAATGTAGATGGAGCTGGATCAGAGAAAAACCCAGTTTCACAACAGGAGTCCTCCCAGGACTCCTCAAACTGCCACGGAGAACAGCTGGACACAGCAGCAGGAGACAGACTGGATGCAGATCAAGGACAGCCGGTGAGCAGAGGAGGGGAGGAAATGACCCAAAGCACTGCCCTGGAGGGGCAGGCACTTGCACTGAAAGGAGAAGATGCTGAAGGCACTGAACACCAGGAGCCTTTGCCCCCAGGGAAAGCCAGCTCTGACAAGACTGTTGTGCCTGAGCAGGACACAGCAAAGTCCCAGTCCGGAGAAGGGGACCAGCCTGAGGACTGCAAGGACAAGGACACTGGGGATGCCCTCAACTAGCACAGGTTACACCGGCTTGCCTGAGACAGAAGGTGAGTTCCTGACCCCCTCCCCATGGAGTCTCTGCTGTCCCATTACTGCTCTCAGCCATGGTACAGGGCCACAACTCCACTCACTGTGGTATGATGGCATCAGAGCAGAAAACTGTCCAGAAATGTTCATTAGCAGGGCTAGGGATCCCTCAGGGAGTTAAACCTGTGAATCCCAAAGGCCTGTCCTGGAGTGGACGGGGAAGGAGTGGAAAGTCAGGAAAATTCTGACTGAAAACTGGGCTGCTGACACACATTAGTTAGGGCACAAACTGAGACTATTCCTGGGAAGGGAAAACCTCAGAAAGGATGAGAGGGATAACCTCAGCAGGATTACTTGTCTCTGGGGGGATCACAAATTGAGGTCATCATGGTACCTGCCCCAAACCCTTTGAAAGCCCCACCCCATGGGCAGAGGTTTGGGGAAGGTTGGCTCCATGGGGAGTTGTTTTCCCAGTACAAGGTCTGTGAGTGATGGATGGTAACACTGGTGCAGGGCAGTGCATAAACACGGGTGAGATGGGTCACGAACCAGAGGAGGGAGAACAGAGCTGGTTATGGAGAAGTGCTCCAGGTTTTACACAAAGAAGTTTCTTCCAGAAGGGCAAACGGAAAGCAAGAAAAGCCAGGAGAAGGAACAAAGGATGGCAGGAACAAAGGTAAGGTAGGAATTAGGAGCAAAGGGCAAGGGGAGAGTGTAGGGGCTCTTTCTGCAAGGTGTGTTTTTTCTGGGCAGTGCCCCCCAGATCAGGATGTCACACAAAGCAGAGATGAGCATTTCCAGAACACGGGCCAGGTTCCCTCACCCCTGAGTTGCTGTCAGGATACCCCTGGCTCTTTCCTTTACAGAGGCAGCAGCTCTGTTCCATGAGTAGGCACTTGAGGCAATTGGCTGCTCAGAGCCAGGCAGGCAGACCCCCCCTCAAGTACCTTTCCCAGATTCCTTGAGCTTTCCTGCAGACCTCAGCCCAGCAGTGTGTCCCCCGGTGCTGCTCAGCATTCATCCCAGAGTACAAATGAGCTTAGGGATGAAGTGGCTAAGCTGCTAACAAAGACTTTCCCTATAATCCCATCCACACAAAAGGCAGGGAGAAGCACAAGAGTCACAGCAATTTCAAAAAGACAAAGCACCAAGAACCAGCAGGAGCTGGTTCTGTGCTCAAACGAAAATTCCTTCCAGTGAGGGAAATTAATTCCAACAGCATTTAGGAAAATGTTTTGAAACACCTGGATGCACATACTGGGAGATTACTGTCCAGCCATGCCTCTCCAACCTACCAAAACTCCCCCAAAATTAGAGGATAAAGGGATGAATGGCAACCTTGCTCACTCAGGATAACTTTAATTAGACACCAGCTAAGAGGAAACACTAAATTACAGCAGTCCATTTTCATCTCAGCGATGGGAGATTCCTGTGGTTTGGTAATAGGGCCCTGAGTCCACTTCAGCGTGGCTCTCCACTCCATCAGTCCTCCCTGGACTAATTACAGCAAGCTTAATTACAAACACAGCCATGTGGCCTGGAGAAGAGGAGGTGTTTGCACTTCAGCACTCAGGTACCTGCTGGGCTGAGCTGGGGCTGGGCACTGGTATCGATATCCAGGGCTTGGGAAACTTCAGGGCTTGGGAAACACCGAGTGTTGGGATGCCAGGGGGAACTGAGGGGTTAACTGGTGTCCATTCCATCCTGCCTTCCTGTCTCTCTCCTTCCTGCTGCCAGGCTCATTTCCCCTTGCCTGACCATGCCCCCACTCCTTTTAGTGCTTAAAGCAATCAGTAATTCCCAGCAAAGCCCATCTAGTTCCAACCCCCTGCCATGGACAGGGACACCTTCCCCCGAGGAGCAGCAGGGTCTGTGTCCCCCATCTCAGCAGTGGCTTAGCAGGACTGGTTCATAATTCCCTGCCAGGAGGTAGCAGGTGACTTCCCAGTGGGATTTGCTTTTATTTCTCTGAAAAATACAGATGTGACAAATGCCATGTATGTCCCAGGAACGTGTCTGTTCAGCATCTCAGATCTCACAAAACCCAAACCGGAGCCCTCGTTAAAACTTTTCAGACAGAAAACGTTATATTTTTAAATACTGGTGATCCAGTTTTGGTACAGTGCAGTTTTTGGAAAATCGGTGTTGAAAGAGATAGTGTGATATTGCAAAATACACCCTGTCATCCCCGAGGGATGTAAAAATATCATGCCATTGCAAAGTTTATCTTGAGGAATTTCCATCCAGTAGAAAATCCTGGACTGGGTCACTTCACCTGCTGCCCAGGGCCATGCCCTCTCTTCATGACCTCACACGTCCCAAAGCAGGGCAGGATCTGTAACAGCTGGAAACGTGTCTCAGTGATAAGGATGGGCTGTCCCTGCCCTGCTCCGGGGCTCCGCGGGCCGTGTCCCACTCCCACGGAATGCAGATCTCACATCCCTTCCTGCACAGCAGCAGCTCCGTGCAGCCACCACATGGGGTTCACAGCTCCCCCTCCCAGTGCCTATTTTTGGCACTAACAATCTCCAGCACCTCCAAACCAGTGGGAGATGCTGTGCAGGGAGCGTGGTGGGGCTTTCATCCGTCGCTTCAAATAACAAGGAATAAATATTTACCCGAAGTGCAGGACTGGAATCCCTGGAGAATGTCCAACAAGTCCCAGAGAAGTAAACGATACACAAAAACCACAGAAGCTTTTCCCTGAATTCTCTTGAGAAAATTAATCTTAACATCTTTAGAGCAAATGCAGCTGGGGGTGGATTTGCAGAGCAGCTCCAGGGATGTGACCTTGGCGCTCTGGCTGACGTAAACAGGAGTGGGACCGGCAGGGCCTGTGTGCTGGGGACGGAGGGGTCGGCACAGGTCGGCTCTGATGCAAAGCAGCGCCCAGGGTTGGTGCAGGAAGCAGCACAAGCACAGACCAGCACTTCCCAGCACAGCCGGGGAGCTGCGGAAGCACAACCGGCTTCCTCGAGGTTCAGGAGACAGGAAATCCCATCTGCTGGCACGTCCTGGGAGCTGGCCTGGGATTGGCAGGGTCAAGGGCTTGCCGGGAATAGCACCGGCCTCCCTGGTCCTTCCTGCAGCCCACAGCACCCTCTGGAGCCCACTGTCATGCCATGGGCATTTCACATTCCCAGAGCACCTCTGAGTGCCACCACAGCAGAGAGGTTAGTCCTCCTGGAGAGCCGGGGAGTGGGATTGTCTCTGTACCTCTGGAGTGATGGAAACCTCTCCCGTGGTGCAATATGGGAAAATACTGTTAACACAGGAAAACACAGGGATTCTGTGAGAATGGTGCAGGAGACTCAGGACACACAGGGAAGGACTCCAGAGCTGGTGAGGGAATGTTGTTTAGTCTAGGAGAAGGAAGGCAGAAAGCAGTGGAGTCGTGATCTCTGTAAATACAGGGGTAGCAAAGGGGGAGAAACATCCAAGCCAGAACACAATGCTGGGGCAGAGACCAATGTATTGGAGAAACACAGGAATAAATATGGGAAAATCAGGAAAAGGTGGCCACCTGTCAGGGACAGGTGACTTGGAAGCACACCATGGCTGGAGCAGGGACCTCCTTAGGGCCACTTACTGAAGCTTAACAACCTAAACACAACTCAGGGCCAGATGAGCTGCTGCCATTCCAGCACTGGGAACAGAGCTGCTCTTGGATCCTTCAGTTGTTTCTGCTATCCCAGAGCTCCAGGAGGGAGCAGGTGCCCACACCTCAGCCACCTGTGTTCACCCTCCTAATGTAAACCCAAATGAAGAGGAGTTCAGGATAATGTCCAGCTCCCACAGGGATCTGCACAGACTGCCTTTACAGGTTTAAGCTCACCAAGGATTGCAGTGATAATTTTGCTACCAGCAAATCTAGACAAAGAAACCAGTTCTCATTAAAATAGGAATTAATTCAGGGATGTCCAATGGCCTGTGCTAAAGGATGTCTCATGACCTTGAGGGCAGGTTTAGATGGGATATTGGGAAGAAATCCTTCCCTGTGAGGGGAGTGAGGCCCTGGCACAGGTTGCCCAGAGCAGCTGTGGCTGCCCCATCCCTGGAAATGTTCAAGGCCGGGTCGGCCGGGGCTTGGAGCACTTCTGGTCTATTGGAAGCTGTCCCTGCCCATGTGGAGCTGGACACCCTCAGCAGCAGGACAGGCCAGCCCTGGTTGCTGCAGACAGACAGGACCAGGAATAATGTCTCCAGCAGCAATCTCCTCTGAGCTGCACATGGCATTGGCTGTGTCAGTACCTTGGGTCTGGCTGCAGAGCAGTTCCTTATTAAATATCCGTGGCTGTGTCCTTAGATGATTCCTTGAGAGGTTTCTTTTTTATGCAAGCCAAGCTTCCTACGGCCTCTCCTGCCTTCGCGGGGTTTCATCTGTTTTTCTTTTTATATCCCCTCCCTGACCTTTCTCGGGAGCTTTGGGTGCTGAAATCTGCATCAGCAAAAGGCAGAGCTGTGGATTTAAACATGGAGGCAGGAAAATGCCAGCTCAGCAATTCTGAGCAGCACCCAAGCATCTGGCAACCAGAGAAGAATAAAAAGTCTGCATTTCCCAATTAAAATCAGTGTGTCTGGGGCTGGAGGCAGCTCCAGGACAGCAGGCTCCAGACACGGGATAGTTTTTCACTAGGGAAAGCTGATTCACCCTCTGTCCTTGGGACACACAAGGGCTGCACCCCCAGGCCAGGTTCACACGGAAACCAGCCCCTCCTTTTGCTCCAGCATACACAGAAGCATGTCAGGATTGTTGTTCCCGAGATGTAAGGAAAGAATAAAGGAGTCCTACCTGTCCCAGAGGAGGACTGGGAGTGTTCCATCCAGACTGGTGCAGTCAGCTCATCCCCTGGGCTGCGGAGCCCCCGCTGCTCCCGTCGGATTTGGCAGCAGGTATCTGGGTTATGCCCCAGCGGTGCCTCCCAGGCAGCCCCAGCCGTGCAGGAAGGGCAGGCTGGAACTCAGCAGACATTTTAATTTACACCTCAGCAGTTCCCTGGAGACTGATAATCCCACTGCTGTCTCTGCTCTCCTTTCGCAGGATAACGTGCTGGAGGCGGTGGAGGAGAAGAGGAGCACAAGCTTGTCCTCACTCTTTTACCTTCTATGAAATCAGCTTTCAGCACCTGCCCTGTGCCCAGCACCACCCCACTCACAGTTCTGGCATCCCCCTTCCCTCTCCATCTGCCAGAGGACAGGGAAGGGTGCCCACACTCCCACCCTACAGCAAAACCACCATCACTTATCTCTTTATTTGTTTGGCCTATATTGCAGCTGCGTGGCAAGCCAAGGAAATGTCTACTGGATGCACTTTATTTAATTTAATGACTAATTCTGTGTAGAGTTAAGGTTTGGGTTTCTGGGCACAGTTTTCTGCCCTGGAGGCTGGAGGGACCTGCCTGTGTCAGGGCTGTGCCAGAGCCTGGAGCAGCGGGAAGGGGTGGCGTGTGAGGGTGTAGTTCATAGGTGGGTGCAGAAATAGCGTTCAGAGCTCTGGTACTAGAGGTTTGCACATGGTTGAAGTGTTGGCAGAGGTGTACAGTAGTGGCAGGGCTGTGGATGGAGCACAGCCGTGGGGCACACAGCTCCATGTGCCAAGCACAGATGCCCCCAGCATCTCCTCCCTGAAGAGCCTCCAGCTCTCCCCTGCCAAAGGCTGAGGAGCACATCAGGACACTGCTGTGTGCCAAGGAAGGGGCTCTTGGGTTGAGCAGGGGTGGGCACAGCTCAGCAAACTGTGCCCGCTTCCCAAGGGCACTGGTAACTGGGCACCCCTGCAGCAGGGCAATCTCCTCCTCCACCACACTGCCCAGAGCAGTGCCAGCAGGACCCAGGCCAGACTGGACCTGGAGGCCCAAGACTTCCTATCAGCTTTCACCTGCCTGGTTGTGCCTTCTGTAGCCTTGTGCTTGAATTAAGAGGGCAGGAGTCCTCTGGAAGCTGCCCCACAGACCTTCTGAGCTGGCCTTAAAGACACCTTTCAAATGCAGGATCTGGAGAAGCATTTACAAGCACAAACGTGCAGCAATTCCAGCTGCTTGGATTTCCAGTCACAGCAAGCTGGGACCTAGCTGGAATACAGCTACCAGTTAAGGAGAAGGCACAGGGGATAACACAGCAGGATTTCTGACATGGGAACGACACAGCAGAGAGGGCATCGCCTTGGAGGTGCTGCTGTAAAACCTGACGCCAGAGTAAAGTCCCTGGGCCAGGTGTGTGGAGACTGCCTGGAATGCCCTGCAGGACCTGCTCTGGCCAGGCTGCCAGACTGCCCTGGAGACCAGGCTGGCACATGTGGACTGAAATACTCAATGCTGCTTTAATATACTAATATTTGCACACATAAACATTTGGATTTTGACTTAGACCCACAGCACCTACCGTGAAGCGCAAGCCTGGGAATTTCTTCCACATGCCAAATTCAGGAGAGTTTACTGGCTTCACACCAGGTATTGTCAAGAAACAGAGCGTGCAGCTTTTGTGTTTTATCAGTAGAAACATCTTCACCCCACCAAAGCCCATATGGGTTTATTTGGATTTACCCAACAGATAAATAAAAGATTGTAAAATTGCTCCAGGTCCTGGAGCTCCTCCATCACTGTTAAATGCTCATTTTCCTTATCTGACTGCCTCAAAAGCCTGCTTACAATTGTTTAGTTTGTTAATTTATTATTATTTTGTACATCAGGTCTCTGACCTCACTCTTGGTCCAGTCAGCCCGAGTCATTACCAGCATTTCCCAGGAGCCACTTTGCCTCCTGGTCCATGGAACACAGTCTCAGCTCCGGAGCTGCTGCACTCCAGAGCAGTCAGACACAGCCAGGCAGGGATCTCCCATTGCCCTGGTCCAGCGCTGTGCTGGAGAGACAGGAAACCTTATTGCCCTAGACTGTTCTGAAAGGAAAACCATCACTGTTCCTCCATTCCCTCCTTTTCCTCCTGCAAAGCCAAGTGACTTTGCAGCTACTGATGCCCCAGGAAGGACTGAGTCTGGATCCAGGCTCCAGGGATGGGGCTGGGCAGGTCGTGCCTGTTCCAAGTGTAATTTTTTCCTGCTCATTAACACTTTGCTCGATGCACTTTGGTTGGTGCCTGGGTTGTGATTTTTCAGACAACTGTGGCTTAGCTGCTGCTTATTTTTTGGTGAGAGAAAAGACTGAGAAGTTGACAAATCTGATGTAGAGGGATTATTTATATGAAATAAAAGTTGGAATGAGGAAAAACCTCCTGTTTCTTACTGTTTCTCACATGTAGAGTTTCCAAATGTAGAGTTTTAGGAATTAAACCTGTAATCTCTTCTTTTTAGAGGAACAGCTCCAGTTCAGAATACTGATCCTTTTGGGAAGTGCTGAACTCCTGGGCTAGCTAAGCTCCCTCACCCAAAAGCTTCCTGCAGCGATGCCAGGGAGACAAGGGGCACTTTTTCATCGAGGCATCAAAGCCACCACCTCATCACCACTGCACTTTCCTCACAAGCAAACGTGTTGGCAGCTCAGGGATTTGGTGGAAGTTATTCCAGCTCTTCCAGACCCCAGGGAAGCAGCAGCACTCCCAGGCAGAATGCTTTTTCCTTCAAAGGAGCAGCTTGCCACTAGACACTCTTCTTCTTGGTAAAATGTACCATCAATTGCAACACAGCAACTTGGTAGCTAAAACTATCAAAATTGATCCCAGACCAGGGAGTCAGCTCTTATATAAAGAGACCAATTTAAAACACCTCGAGCCAAGGACAGAAATACATCTGGACAAAGTTGGAGATACTTGTTCCCAAAGCAATTACTTAGGGAGGCAACAATATAAAACCCTGACAGGAGTTCCAGCTCTCCATTCCCACCTCAGCAAGTCCAATACCTGCAGCAAGAGCACACCCAGGTCACTAAGCAGTAAAGCCCTACAGTCTCTAGGAGTACAAATAACAGAACAATTCACTGATGTCCCCACCAGTCCCCCTCCAATATACTGGTTGCAGATGGCAGAGGGGGCTGGCACTTAGTCAGCGGGTTCGTATTTTAAGTGCATAATACAGCAGTTGGCGCTTCCTAAGTCAGTGAGAGGCCCAGAGCAGCAGCAGGATACAGCACTGCTGGGAAGTTCAGGACACTGCCTGCTGCCTTCCCTGGAAAGGTTGTGCAGCAACAGCTCGACCAGCTCACGGGCTCAGCAGCCACTGGCAGGCGATTCTGGGAATTCTGCGGCCGCTTCCTGCTCCCACCATCCCAGGGCAGTGACAGCAGCTGACCAGACACAGGGCTTTCCCAAAACTGCCTTCCAACACCCGTGGAACAACCAGAAAACCAACTTCACCTCCTTAGCTTCACACTCCAGCTTGGCTATGTTTCTTACCCCATTCCCTTCTCCACACGCTCCGGCAGCTCCAGGACTCAAAGCCAGCCATCGGCAACTGCCCCCAGAGCAGCCACTGAGACCAGCTTGGAGTTCCCTGAGGGAAATGCCTGAGGCCCAGAAGCAGCCCCTGATTTTGCCATCATGGCTACACCACATGATTGCTTATCAGCTCCGCTCATGGACTGAGCCAAACCTCCCTGTCAGAAACACGGCCCAGGAATGTGGGATTGAGCAGACTTGCATTGCATCAGCTGAGCCCACGAGAGAATGTGCGTGGGGAAAAGGGAGCTCTTAGAGATGGAAACTGTAGCCAGCTGCTGGAGTGCATCACACGCTCCACTAACTCTTCTTCCAGCTTTTCCCCTTCCTTCTGGTCCCTCTGCACGTGAGTTACACCAAATGCTCTCCTTGAACAAACAGGGCTCACTGGGACAAGCCCAGTGTGCACAGGCAAAGGGCAAGTATTGAATGTCAATCAACAGGGGTGAGCCAGAGGCACCTGCCTGCAAGGAGACAGCCCAGGAGGCTTGGACAAACACCCTCTCCTCCCTCTGCCACAATTCTTTAAAGGCTCTTAGAGGACAAAAAGCTGCAACTCAGGCCCTAAATGATACAGAGACTCAAAGCTTGGGGGAAAAGTTGGCATTACAGAATTATCTTCATGTTTAATCAATAAAAAAACGAAGTAAAAAAATGGAAGCGCAGATGCCAGAATTCCAGCCGTGTGCTTACAGCCCTCATGCCTTTACAGGAGCGTCCCAGAGTCAGGAGTCCTGAGACTTGTCAGCTTCCTTCTCTCACTAAAGCAAAGGGTATTTCCCTCACATCTGAGGAGCTCCTTCACCCAAACTGACTTTCAGCCATCTCCCTTCCGCACCAACACACACGCTGGGAATTTGGCACCATCCTCTTGGCAGGTAACATGCAGGACAGCAGTTGTGTGAAGGGAATAATCCTCCCCAGCAATGCTAAAGAAACAACATCCTGGATCATGGGGTTGCAGCCATTTCCATCTAGGAAGCCACACACCACCCTGTGCCTTGTCTTGCCTGATACAATCACACCAAGTGAACTGAATGTTTTTATTTTTTTGAGGAGCAATGAAGGGAAAGGCTGAACTGGAGCTGAAGTAACACAACAGACCACACAACCAATGGCCTTTTAAACCTCAGCTTTACCCCAGACTGGTGACTGCACCATTTAAGGGCACTAAAACAATTCTGTTGGGATGCAGATGACACTCTCAGTACAACATAATGCAAAAATTCCCAGTCCAAGCTGTTCTCTGTTGCAGCCAACCTACCTCCCAAGAAATCCCTAATACCCTGAACTTTAAATTAGCTTACACCTAGAAACCAGTCTAGACGAGCCCTTTTTGTCACTAGAAGTATTTGCAAAGTGTACTTAGTCACCAATTTCTTTGACAGTCTGTCATGATGACAGTCACAAGCGCAGCAACGGGCTCATCACGGGCTGGCAGCAGCATCCCGACGGGAACACGTCTGCCTCCAGAGGGCTACAATGCCTGGCTAGGGAAAGGATGGGGAACAGATTGTAGCTGAAGAATCTGGGCCCTGGAGATTTGGAAAACCAAATCACCTGAGCTGCCTGGCCCTTAGGCTGGCAGCCCGTGATCCTCCTGCATCTCCCCCAGGCCACCTCCCCTCCCTGGCTCAGTACAACCGGAGTAAGGCCACGGGATGCTCCAAAGCAGTTGTAACAGGTACAGAAATAGCAGCATTTCAGTGAGATCTGTTTGTCAGCAGAGGAGAAGATGCAAAAACACAGTCTGGGAACTCATCAAGCCTGCACTTTCCTCCAGGAATGCAGACAGCCACAACCATCCTCGTACTGGCTCATCAACTATTTTTAGCAGCAGTAAGGGAGGCAGCCATCAGGAAAGGGCCTGTTCCCTTTGATCCACAGATCCAAGCACTGTCCCAGAGATCCTCTGCCCCCAAACCCACAAACCAGGTAAAGAGCTGTAGGCTGTTCCTGCTCCCAAGTACGAGGCATCTCTCGGCAGTTCCACGGCAGGTTGGAAGAGGGCCACGCAGCCCATTTCATTCCACTCACTTCCTCTCCCTCCCGCGCCACGCAGACGGCTCGATGAGTCTTCTGAGAGCAATTGGAGTTAAACTGAAGGATGTCAGGGGGCCCTGGAAACCAGCACATGTTGGACGCACCACTCAGAGCCACTACAGAGCGCCCAAGCTGCAGGCCAGGAGCAGAGAAATCCCAGGATCTGTGTCATCCCACCCAGCTTTATTTATCTCCAGAGGTTTTACGAGATAAACATGAGCTCCTTCTCAGAGACACTTCCCAACTGGTTCTGCGTTTAGCACCCGAGCCAAGGAACAGCCTAAACTGAACTGGCACCACAACGAGCCTGGTTTGTTTCTCTGTCACTCATTCCTCCCTCGAGGAGCTGCAGAAACCTTCCCCTGCAACCAGAGGTGTATCCCAAGGACAGCAAATGGCACCGCTGTCACCAGGACCCAGAGCTACCGTGGGCATGTGCAGCCCCACGGACAGGGATGAACCCACTGCCGGCAGAGCCAGCAGGGAACCAAAGCCACTCACAGAACAGACACCGTGGGGTGTCCAGGAGCTGGTGCTGCCCCGGGACAGCTCAGCCTTCTGCTGCTGTGCATATTCGGGCTCCAGCCCCTCTCCAGCTCCTCCACCTGCCCCGCAGGAGGGTGGCACTGATCCCATTTTGGCTGAAGCGACTAAGCGGGATCGTTTTGTCCTCCCCACCAGCCTTCCGTTCTAACAACACACAGCCTTCCCCACTCCAGACAACTGCCAAGGACAGTGAAAAGAAGATCCCAAAGCACTCTCTCCCTGCAAGCTCCTGCTTCTACCTTCCAAGAACGCTGTAAAGACAATGCCCAGCTGACACAGCCCTAACACAGCACCACGGCCCCAAACACCCTGATTTCGGTACAAAACAGCTCTTTTCAAACACCAAGTGCCATATTTTATGGTACCTTTGTGATCTGCACAACTGAAATACGTACGCTGCGTGACAGCACATCTTATCCCTCAGCAGAGGGGATCTGAACCGCTGGGATTGTTTCACAGGGATGCAGCACAGCCTGGCAGCCTCACTGATTCAGCCAAATCCATCCACCTGGAAAGCAGCAGCCTGGAACAACACAGCTCTTATGGTTTCCTAGTTGATATCCCACATCCCGGAGTCATTAAAGGCCAGTTTTTTGCTCAAGGAATGGAACATTTCTGAAGACTACAGGGCAGGCAAACACTGGGAGGAGAGGCCGCCCAGGGCACATCAGGAACCGCCGGGCCAAGACCTGCCCTGGCTCCGGGTGCCCCCAGGGCACAGGGATGATCCATAAGCACTGCCACCCCTCACAGGCAGGAGGGCAGGAGCACGGGGGTACAACCAGGACACAGCTCAGAGCCCACCACCACAGCTCCACCTGCTCTGCCAGCACAGATCCAAGCTTTCCAGCACCACCGCTTCCTTTCCACGAGCAGCAGGATTTAAGCACATATGGAGGTTTCTCCAGCCTTGCCTATGGAGACAAATGAATCAACATCATATACCACAGTTCCCATTGCAGCAGTCAAATTTCTGCTACTCAAGAGCCCTTCCAGTTCAGCATTCCTCCTCCCACCACCGAAGAGAACATACTGTGTTACAGAGACTTTCATATTGGGAAAATATTTTAATATAGTAAACAAGTCAATTTACCTTCCACATATTTTAAATAAGTTTATGCTCATCGTTAAACAAAACTGGTTTTACTTAAACAACGGATTACAGCCTCTAAATTCGTATTGTTCCCAGCTGATCCTGTAAATAGTGAGGAATTTTGGACACCGGTATCCTTGTATAGGTAACAGACTGGCATAAACAGCGCAGGAATTCGATGCGGGTTCAACGGGAGAAGCTAGCCCTGGTGAGGAAGGAAACGAAGCCACAAAATTCCCTTTCGAGGACAAACGGAGGGGGGAAAAGAAGATACCGCAGTTCCGCCGACTCCGGCGGGGCCGAGCCAGTGCCAGGTCAGTGTCCGCTCAGTGTCCGGTCCGTGTCCCGGCGCTCCGCGGTGCCGCGGGGGCGGCCGAGCCCTCGCTCTCCGTGCTGGGCCGGGCCCTCGCTCTCCATCGCCGGCGGAGCGGCCTCAGCCCCCATCAGGGGCTGCTCCCATCGGGGGCTGCGGGGCCGGGCGGGGTGGCGGCGGCGGGCGGGCCGGTGGCGGTGGCGGTGGGGCGGGGGCCGGGCCCGGGGCGCGGCGGCGCGGGCGGAGGCCCCGCCGTGGGTCCGGCGCGGAGCTGCGCGGGGGTGGCGGCGGCGGGGCCGGGGCCGGAGGAGCCGCCGGTGCCGCGCACCGGCTGCCAGATGAGGCTGTAGTAGACGGCGAGCACGATGGCGGCCAGCGAGACGGACAGCACGTAGGCCAGCACGGTGGCCAGGCGCACCCACTTCTTGTTGGTCTTGGCCGCCATGCGCGCCTTCTTGTCCCCGGTGTAAGTGGCGGGCTTGCCCCGCTCCGCGCCCGCCTCCTTCTCCTTCATCGGGGCCCGGCCCTTGGCCCGCTGCTCCACCGAGCCCTCCGTGCTGGCTCCGGCCCGGATCGGCCGCCGCCGCCGCTCAGGACATGCCGGTACCGCCCGCGCCGCCGCCGGTGCCGCTGCCCGCGCTGCCCCGCCGGGGGCGAGGGGCGGCGCGAAGGGGGCAACACCGCCCCCAGGGGAGGGGACCGAGGGAGGGGACACGGCAGGGAGGGCGGGAGAGGAGGGCGGGCAAGGGGCGGAGCACCTTTAAAAGGACTCCCGGCACAGGGCTGCCCCCTCCCGTCCGCCAGAGCCCCGCAGAGCTGCCCAGCCCTCCGGGAGCCCCTCGCTGTGGGGAGAGGCAGGTGATGGTTTAGTTCCTCCCCGGGCAGCAGTGAAGGCTCCTGGCACGCGCCTGGAGCTGGAGGAGGTCAGGAGGCCCCTCTCTACCCTGGCCTCTTGGAATTACTTCTTGGTGCCTCCCTGCTGCAGGTACGTGCTGCCTGCACCCTCTATGAGGCTGGGAGGGTGCCCCAGCTAAGGAGCAAGTTTTAGAGCGAAAGGCTTTCTCCAAGCTGGCCTTGTCCCAAACCTGTTATTGATACAATCTAAACCTCCTCTTAAAGCATGGGTTCACATCACTCCCCAGGTGTTAGTTCCCTACAAAAGCATTATATTCTCATGTTGAAAAGACAACTAAACCACCAATTTAGGGTATAAATTAGCTTTGTTTTCTTTATGGGAATGATGTAGCTGCTTGTTTTACAATAATTTTCTTCCTCCTTTCAATCTCAGGTATGGTAGTTGCAGCAGAAACTTCTTATAAACCAGGACTTGCAGTTCTGGAGGAGGCAACAGTAGCTGGAGACCTGCCTGTTACCCAGAGAGGCTTCAGAGAAAGTGAGTGAGTTTTGAGTTAACAGCAGCATTTTATTTGTGCTCCCATGTGGTAGAAGGGGTTTGCCTTCAATGCCATACTCCCAGTTGCAGGAAAATTGTGAGAGAAAAGTTGGGAGAGAGGGAAAAGTTTTTGCAGGAAGTACAGAGCTTGCAGCTCTGAGGAAGACTCGTGAGGCAGAAGATATGTTAGGGAATAAATGGAGTAGCTTCAAAGTAGCTGTAATTTTTGGAAAAGGTGGACTGTGTTGGCCAGAGGCTGCAGGGCTGCTGTCTGCATGTGGAGGGGGAGCACTGCTGTGGGTCTGTGTGCACTGACTGGGCAGGGCTGGGAGCCCCAGTGTCCAGCAGCAAAGGAATTTGGAGACTAAACCTGCCTGTTCAGGGCAGAGGGGGCTCATTGCCCTTGGCTGGGGAGTTGGACTAGATGGTTTTTCAGGTTCCCTTCCAACCTAAATGATTTTGAGCTGTAGATAGACTTGCTGTAGCCTCCTGAAGTATTTAACATTGATGAAATGTTGCTGTGCACCTGGGGAATGTTTGTTAGAAGGTACTGGGGCCTTTCTTTGTGCCCTGTGTGTCTCCTGCCCTCATTGCTTACAGGTGATTGTATTCTCCTCGTCAAGCCCAATGTCCCACACCTGAGCACACGAGCTGGAGTCACAGTCACACCTGGACTGTATTAACTGATGATGCCCTGCTGGTAGAGCTTCCCTGAGTTACAGAATTGCCTTTTCTGTGGTGTACTATACATTCTATACACACATTCCCTTGGACTGTATAAGTTTAGGTTGAATTATAGGTGTGAATTTATAGCAATTCTTACAAAACGGATTTTCTAGTAATTTTTCAGTGTGTTTTCCCTCAGTGATGGGTTTGGTCCAGCCCGTTCTCCCCTTGCTTCTCCTCTTCCATTCAGCAAGTGAAATGATGATGAGTTGCTACTTCTCACAAGTCCTTTCCCTATGCTCTGGCTTAATTCCCGTTCTGGAATTTCTGGGGTAGAGGATTAACACGTACAGGCAGTTCTTGTGGGGCTGACTGAGGTCTTGGCAGTTTTGATGATTCTGATGCTTGTCTAGTCCAGGATGTCTTCCTGCATTTTCAGACTGTCCTGGGAGCCAGACTGGACTGGCGAAGGACATGCAGGGGAGTTGTAAGAACATTCCCAGCAACTGCGTGAGCGTGGTGTGGTTGAGATCCCAGCGTGTCATTCCAGAGGTGTTCTGCCTTCAGCCCAACAGCTTCACCTCCCCCCTGCATTTATTTGTGGCTCATTCATGCCTGCAGTGGAGACCTGCCCTTGCTGGAACACACAGTGCCATGGTATTATTACAGAAATTCAGTGTTCTCAAGGCTCTCTCCTCCCTGCCAACCCTCTGCTCTCATGGCTCTGAGTAAGCCCAGGCTTGTGTTCATTAAATGTTGTGAAGTCTTGGCTTTTGCCAAAGTCAGGTGAAAGCTTTTCTTTTTACTGTGAACAAGTAACTGGGTGTGAGCTTCTCTGCAGGCAGCTGCCAGCAGGTGTGTGCCTTCTGTTCCCAAACAGAGTTCCTTGCTAAAAACCTCACTAAGGCAAGTGAGAGCCAGAAGCCAGAGCTGCAGTCAAGATGTTTTTTTTGTCCTTGGAGCATTAGCAGAGATCCCAGGCTGTGCTCTGAGCGGGCTCCTGTGGTGCAGGATTGGAGCTCTGGGGTCTTGTGAAGTCAGGGACTGTGTCTGACACCAGACAAAGCTGACAAATTACTCCTGTCTGGAATTTCCTCCTAAAGAGCACAAGGGATCACTCGCTTGAGGCACGTGGTGCACACTGGAACTATGTGCCAAAGCAGGAGAGCTCTGCAACCCTCGGGCAGCCTTCCTCCCACCACAGCCCAAAAACTACTCTGCAGGGTCCTGTTCTTTACAAGATACTTTAAGACTGCTTTAATTTTGACTTGTTGGGTCTGAGGGTCCACTAGAAAATGTGTTTATTTGCTGCCTTACACCTGAGTGTTGTTAAAACCACGGGTGCTGAGACAGATCTCCTGTTGGAGGCTTGGGAGTTCCACCTCCCTGAGTGAGCAGCGTGGCTTGAACCCTGCTGCTGCCTTGCCGCAGTGGGATGTTTGCCTGCTCTCCAAGGGCCCCTGACAGATGGAGCTAAATAAACCTGTGTTATTGATTTCCCATGCTCGGAGTCTGTGGATAGCATCCGAGTGCTGCAGGATAGGGAAGACTTCATTAAGGGAAGATTGCTGGCCTGAGGTACTGCCTCTGTGCAGCCCCTGCTTCTGGAGTAGCAGGGCACTGGATGGGATGCCTGGGAGATGGGTGAGTGTGTGTTGTTCACAGAGGCCTCTGGGCAGATTATAGAGACTCGTCACTTTTTTATTGGCTCTTTGTTGATGTTTAAACTTTACAGTGTCTCCTTGGTCACATTTGTGAGCTGGGGAGGAGGGAGATGGATAAGATCTTTCTACCTGCCTCCTAGTGTTTAAAGGATGGAATAGTTTGTTTAAATTAATCTTTCTGCACTGAAGTCCTTGAGTAAGTACTCTGCTAGGCTGGAGCCTGCTGTCACAGAGAAGGTCCCTGCTCTTGACAGGGGCATCTCTCAAGCTCTGCTGGCTGCCCTTCTACAGGAAATACTCTATTTCTCACTGCTGCTCCAGCCTCCTGTTGGAGCCTGCAGGGAATCTGTTTCTGTTCCTCTCTGGCATTTTCCTCTTACACACTGAAATGTGTCTCACGTGGGAAGGTGCAGTTTCACTTGTTAATCCAAGAGCAGATGGGGAAGGTTGGGGATGTCCTTTTATTTCCTTCAGCTCTGATTTAACTGTGACAGTGAAGCTGGCACAACCCACAGTCTTGCACTGACTAGGACAGTGCTCTGCAGAGGTTATGGGAGTGGGGAAGGTGCTAAAAGTGATGCTGAATTTGAGATACCACAGCAGGTTTTTGCTGGGTTTGCCTGGGACTGAGGCCTTGGGCAGAAAGCTCCGGGGAGCTCAGGGCAGCTCCAGCCTTGTATCATCAATGTGGGGAAGCCCGTTTTGAGCCATTTTGTTATCCTCTGTGTTGCCTAAAATTGGCTCTTAAAATAAAGCTCTAAGACTCAACTGGTGAGTTTTAGGAGCCAGGCATTCCTTGATTACGATGCACTGTGTGGTCACAGCACACTGGCTGCCCTGGCACTCAGCTCCCCAGGTGCTCACAGGGGTATCTCCACTGCAGCTGATATGGCAGCACTACAGGACTGTTCATTTTCACTCCCTGCATTC